CACGAAAAAAGACAAAAAGGAAAAAAAAAAAAAAAAAAAAAATGTCTGAAATTATTCTAAAAAGAACTATAAAAATTCAAAGCACTGACAACGTATTGCTTCTGAAATGATGTGAGACATGCAGACAGAACAGAACATGCTAAGCCTTAGAGAGTGTTCCTAGGAGGTGATTCCATTCTTTCTCTCTTTCCCCCTGGCCTCACCTCATATTCCTTCCAAGAAATGTGGCTAAATTCAAAGAACATCCTTGTTTTACTACAAGCTTCTGGAAGGTCAGAACACATTTCTAATTCAATGGTTCTATAACATACCTAATAAACACCAAATAAATTTTATCCCCTTTAATGGATTTATAACATATAAAAATTCCTTAATAAAACAGATTCAGATAGTGTGTCTCGAAAACATCTTTTAGAATATGTGTGTGTGGGCCTGGCCGGTGGTGCACTCGGTAGAGTGCAGTGCTTGGGAGTGTGGCGGCGCTCCCACCGAGGGTTTGGATCCCATATAGAGACCGGTCCGCTCACTGGTTGAGCGCGGTGTGGGCGCGACACAGAGGGTTGCGATCCCGTTACCAGTCACGAAAAAAGACAAAAAGGAAAAAAAAAAAAAAGAAGAAGATGTGTGTGTGGGAAGTGTATAATATTAATCAGGTCTTGATTTATTCTTTCACTCATCTATTTCACAATTTAACAAATATTATACCTTTTTTCCAGGAAATTTTAAAAATTCTTTAAAGGAATTAAATTTTATGGAAATTTCGTGAAATTTTAAAATTAAATTTCCATAAAATTTTAAATTTTACGGAAAATTCTGAATCTAGACAAATGTAGAGAATAGCATAATGAGCCCAATGTACCCATAACCCAATTTCAACATTTATCAGCTCATGATCAATCTTACTCCATCTATATCCCCACCACTTTCCTACACACATACACATTAGATTATTTTGAAGCAAATCCCAGATATCATTTCACCTATAAATATTTCAGTATGTATCTCCAAATCATAAGGACTCTTGCTTGATATATATATGAGTACCTCAAAAGTTCATGAAAAGATTTATATTATCTTTCAATTCTATTTTTCTACAAACTTTTTGAAGTCCCCTTGTATATACGACCACAGTACCGTTAACATACCTAAAAGAAACCTGATAGTCACTCAGTATTATTAGATCTCGTCAAAGTTCAAATTTTCCTAATTGCCTCAAACTTCTTTTAACAGTCGGCTAACAAATATTTTGTCTACTGTGTGTCACACACTGTGCTAGGCACTAAAGATACCAAGTTGCATGTGACAGTTTTTACCCTGAGAGGTCTAGTAGAGGCTGCAGGCATGTAAACCAAAAATCACAATACAAAATAAAAAGTGCCACAATAGAGCCATGAACAGAATTTTATGGATACCCAGGAGTGAGTGACTTAAATCTCATTGTGTTCACCACACTCTGACATTTACTCCCATGGTCATATCCTAGATCCTGTCATACTCAATGCGCCCCTGATACCCCAGTGCCATGCACTGCCCACTGTGACACTATCTCCTAGCTCTCTAGCTCACTCCCTCTAGTACTGGACTCAACAGCCCTTCAACCTTGCTAGCATCTCCAGTCAAGTCCTTCCTCCCGCTGTGTGCAGTCCTACATCCCCTTGATGCTTTCTCTCCCCTTCTTCCACAGCATCAATTCCAAGGTCATTCATTGGAATCACTCCCTTGTATAGGCTCTCAGCTTCCACTCCTACTGCTGCTTTGTTATTCTCGCTGGGATGCATGCACTCGGTGAGACCACAGCCCTGTGTCATCCAGTTCCCTGCCCGTGCTGCACCGGCACCCTGGCAGCTGAAGGAAGCTGGAGAAAAACACACAGCCCTGTAGCGGCCTCACTTTAATCTCATAACTATGCAACTCCAGTGGGCACTCGAAGTTGCAGACAATTGAACGGTACTCCCCAGAACATTCACTTTCCCGGTTTCCTAAACGCCATTTCACACCATCTCCTCTCTTTCCAAATCCTATAAAAGCTGGCAACCCTACACCTGATCTGTCCCTTCAGTACTACCCTATTCCAAAC